ATATAAAATCTAGTAGGTACTTGCGGCCGGAACCGCGGGCGAGTTGTAAATATTTTTATTTAAAAGTATTTATTTCATTAACAGAAATTCATTTGCATTTTAAATTTAATAACAGGTTAATTTAATAACAACATAGCACAATGAGTTTTAGAATTTTCTCAATTAACAAAAGCAAGAGTAAGTTATTACTCTGCTTTGTTAAACGATGTAATGATTTGCATTCAATGAAGTGCTTTCCCCGCAATCCCTGTTAGTTCTCAACGACAGGTTTTTCTTTTGTTACGATATTAATTTACATTGAATGGCGATATTGTACTCAACTATTCAACTCAGTGGCGGATTTGCCCTAAGGCCCAATAGGCCCGGGCCTAGGGCGGCCACATATTAGGGGCGGCCAATCGTGGAACTTAGTGGAACCGAACGTACCTAGAGCGGCCAACACTACAAATCCCCCACTGATTAAAGTAATGATCCAGAAATTTACGATACAACGGCTTTCCTACTATAATTAATGGGATTCGATAATTATGTATATCTATTTTACATATATATATATATATACATATATAATATTATATAATATATAAGAATATGTATTCATAGTAAATTGACAAGATTTTGGTCGATTCGTAAGCATTTAAGAATTTAGACCATGGTTTTTATTTTATGTGAATAATTGCCAAGCGAGCAGACGGTTCACCTGATGTTAAGTGAATACCGCCGCCCATGGACAACTGCTACACCCGAGGGTTACAGATGTGTTGACAACCTTTTGAAGTTTGGGCTCAGGCTACCTCACTCACCAGACGAAACGCGATAGTGTTTGTTATACTTCCACTTTATGCCGGTCTTCTGTGAGGTCGCAGTAATTCCCCGGACGAGCCTGTCCATTACTGCTACATCGGAAACTGTTGCACGCTAATGTCGTAAACACAGAATAATTATCCCACAAGCGACGTAATGAATGAGTTTAATATAAGTAAGTATTCTGTTTAATTCAAGCGGATTTGCTCCGCTCTAAGATCTTTAGATAACAGCTGTTGTAAATACAGAAACAGAGTTGTGAATTGACATAGTATGTGTTTGTGACAATGGCGTCACAGTGGAGAGCCATTTATGTCGTGCCCAACGTCCGTTTGTTCCATATATGCCAACGGGGGCTCGAGTGAAATAACAATGAGTGCTCACTGGCAACCTGAACACATCTGTTGTCCACGTGCTATGTAGTTCAAGAGCGAGCCTTTGTTTTTGTGAGTTAGACTCTGGAATAATGTAGACTGTTGCAATTCCTTAAATCTCGGGGATGCCAGCAATGAAATTTCGCCTTTTTTGTTTCAAAAGAATAGCCATCATTAACTGTTTGCCAATGCCGATGCTTATGTCGGAGTTTATAGAAGGCAACATAAGGATATCTGAAGTCAATGGCGATAATAAACAAACTAGGCCTTGATTTACAAATAACCTTTTTCTTACTCGGTAGGTAATTATGCTGACACGGATCCATCTAGTGCAAAATTATTGCGTCTGTGTGAATGGAAAGGAAATTAACCCATTGATGCAATCTTCGTGAATTAAATTTAAGATTTTGCGCAATTGCCCCTAAATCATTGCGAAGCTGCGATCTGAAAATCATAACGTTTCGAAAGAAGTCTGCCGTGCCAAAAATAGCACTTTAACAATTACGGTGTACCTCTAACATAATTTGCGTTGGGCATTACACCGATGATTTCAGATAATATGCTTAAAATATTTATATAGATTCATTGTCCAACGTTTAACTTGACTTTTTTTTTCTCTTTACTACTTCTTTACAACTTCTCTTAAATGAATAAATCGAAAAAATATATCCGACAAGTATAGTAAGGCTGTTTAATGATGTTCATAATTTTATATCATCGTCGTGGTTATTGAGTTGATAGTTCAGTGTATTTCAATTTACTCGAGCAACCTGAGTTCGAGCCGGCACCAATGAAATTGTTAATTTTAAGCACGTGATAAGTCAGACCTATCACGTGCTCCGCGGTGAAGGAAAACATCGTGAGGAAACCTGCATATTGTTGTAAATGAGAACAAAAACATATTTCGGAGATATGTGAAGTCCGCCAATCCGTGGGGTCCGTCAATTGGGGCGTGGTAGACTAAGCCCTGATACTTTCTGTACAGAGGAGGCCTTTGCCAGCAGTGGGACGTGTATAGGCTGCTACTTTACTATCGTGGTCATTAATATTTTCTCTTTTGATGCCATATTAACAGATACTAGACATATTAAAACGTATTTGAGGGAATAAAAATGCATTATTTCTATCGGTCCCGTTTTAGACTATAAGAAAACGCTTATAGAACTGCAACAAAACTTTATCGATGCAGCACTTTAGTTTGTCGAGTTGCTGGACCGAGTCTGGCGTCGTTTTTCTGTTATTCAAAGACACGATAATTTCACTCATGCGTTATTCCTAGCGTTATTTACGCCGGACCGACCATACTAGATGGTTGTCAGACCGGTTGAGTTGGGATGTCTCTTTACTGTTACTGCTTCTTACGTCCCTTCAAAAGCGATATCTTGTGATAAAACACTGACACTTATTTTCTGAACATTTATTGTTTTGTACGAAGCAAATGGTTATCTACTGGTTGATATTTTCAGTATTTTCCAGTAGACAAAGTATTACCGCACTCCTTGATCAATTTAAACCCTAAGAACTAGCTTTTCGCGAAAAGATTAACTGATATTGGTACCGTGTTATGAATTTGAAATATTCTATGGAAAAAGTGCTGCAATATGAATTTTCATTCACGCTTTTGTTAATTCTAGTGGGCTTGTTTATTAAAGTATGCAACTACATCTTTTTGAAATTCAGAAACACTATAAACTTCTTACGTATCTGCCTTAATGTTATTAAGTTTTCTTTTTCATCAACACGTTATTATTTGTTGGCCGTTGTGTCCGATACTTACGTGGTAGTTTGTGGCCCGCTATCCAATTACTCTCTTTCTGTGGTTACAGTTCGTGTGTGGCCACCGATATCAATACAACGGAATCTGAAATTCAACCGTGGGTTTCTTGCAAGCTACGACTGTTGAATTAAATGTCAGTTTATTGGATTATATCATTTTTTCGATACTTGGTACGGTACCTATATTGTTATTTGTATCGCGTTAACACTTTTTCTTGACCGGCATCTGATAGGAATTAGTCAATAATTCGGGCGTCGATATATACGCAGTAACTAAACATAATCCTCTTCATTCTTGCCTTGTTATCGAATGGAAAACAGATCGCAGCCATGAAAGCAGATTGTTCCACTTTTAGGTATTATGTATGTATGTATGTATGTATGTATTAACTGATGTTCATGCTTTCAATCCCGAGACTATTAAAGCTTTATCGAACGCAGAACCGGTGGGCTAGCCAGAACCCACGGGTGGGTATTATGTGTTGAACTTATTATTTCACATGTGATGAATATCAGTGACAATAGAATGAAGGCCACCCAAGCGTTTAAACACCCGAAGTGGGAGAGGCTGTCAGATTTTACTTGTCGTGCAATGACTTTGAAATGTGGCCTGTACATATTCTTATTTTCGGAATATTACGATAAGAAAATCTTTTGAAACGTGAAATTTATTAAGTACCTCTGACTCCTGTGGTGTATGGTATCAGAATTTATAAATAATGTGATTTGCCTATTTAATACCGAAGTTTGTTCTTTCGTTGTGCGTTATATTAGTTAATTCATAGACGAAATTACACATACATTGTAACTCAAGTATAGCCTTTCGTTAAAGAAATTATACCAATCACTGAGCGTAGCGACCAAATCTTGAAGACAAAAGAATACACGAGACTGAAATAAATAAGCGTTAATCGTTAAAGCCATTGTTACTTTTTAATTGTAATGCCCACGCAATAATTATCCTTCATCATCCAATTCGTAAAGAAATATTTCTTAATTTTGATATTGGATCGAATATGTTCGAATGTTGGTCAAAGCATTCATGTTTCATCATCTTTTTTTTTTGATTTTTTTAAAAAGCAAAGGCAAAAGGATAACACTATCGTGTGTTGCAAGGAATTTAACATACATAAATTTCACGCGGATAAACACCCAGATGCGAAACAACTGTTGATTCATCATCATCAGCATTAGCCGCTATGCACTATGCATAGACATCCCATTAAAACGCCGTGTGGATGCAAATAGCAAAATGTCATTCGTCCTAAGGGGAAGGCCTTTTTAAGATTAGGAACTTAATATTCGATAAATAACTGATAATTTTTTAACCAAGTGGAATCATGACATTTAACACCTGTCACGACACTAAAATGAAACTATGTGTATTTACAAACACAAAATTCCGTCACAAGTATCCGTATATCTTATCCTTTAAACGATCAATTCTTGTATATATATATCGGTCGGTAATTGGGCGGCCCCAAAACAGACGGCGGCGGTTCGTATCACGATCATTTACACACTTATTTTTTTTAACTTTTTTTCTATACCAGATCACTGCTTTCTTTTCTTTTATTTTTTTTTATACATGATTTACCAAAAAAAAATCCAAGCAAAGCTCGGTCCTCCAGTTACTTACATTTTATAGCAGCTGCCTCTAACAGATTGCACTAAACTGCTGAAAATTAAAAATTAAACGCAAATACATCATGAATATCTTATTAAAAATATTTTAAGCCAAGCATCGAATGCTTAAGAAATTCACGCTTACGAAGAGTGCTGAGGTGTTGTTAATATCCATGCTTATCTGCACTGGCAAGACTATTAATTTCATTCATCGATCCATTAAGTGCGAACACTTGGATCTGCGTTTAGTGTTAACCACCCTCGGCAAACATCTATGTTTATGTCCAAAGATTCGTGATCCGATAAATTTGGTTTTGATCCTCTTTGATACGGGTGATTTATAATTTGTTCTGACTGCACTTTTTACCGCCGTGCATATTGTGCTTTCGGACGGATAGTAATAAAGCCCCTCCCCACCAGGGTCACTCCGAATCGAAAGGAGCGAAGAAGCGGGACAAGAGCGCTGGCAATGGCAACGGGAAGCCGAGTCGCGGCGTGGCAACCTCGTTCGGTTTCCGCAGACGGCCGGCGAGCACCTCGCGTGCAGACGACAACGCGCGCCGAAAGCAGAAGTCGCACGACAAGAATGGCAACGGAGGTTGGCATGTGTTTGTTTTTTTTTTTATTCAAAACTGGCCAGCCAACTGTACTGCCATCCCACCTTGTTAGTGGCGATGAAACCGTTGATGGTAAGCGCGCTAGCTCAGTAAAAACTAAGTTGTTACTATAGAGCGATGTTTTAGCTTTAGGCTGGAAGGACTATGAAATGCTATATTTCTATCCGACCAGTCTGACAATAATCGAGTTTAGTAATTAACGTATGCCCGATATAGCTACAGGCTCGCCATCCATCCATTTCTTTAAGACATAATTTTCTTTTACGTGAAAAGTTAGCAAGCATACAGCCGGTTCACCAGATATTAAGTTAATACCGCCGCTCATGGATATATACAAAACATGAGTGGTTGCAGATGCATAGCCAACCTTGAAAAAAACCGGCTACTACACTCATCAGACGAAACCGAAAGTATAATACTTGCACTTCACATCGGTCTTATGTGAGGCAACGAGCTTATTCGTGCAACAGCAGAAGCTAATGCGTGGCCCTAGCAATCGTATCTCGATAAACAGTTAAAAATTTATAAATAAGGATAAACTTAACTGTACTACAGAAAGTGAATTACTTTAAGAAGTAATTGTATTATACTAATGCCACGATTGTACCGTCCGTACAGTATTGTACGTGAATGATACAAGTATACAATGTCTTTACTGTAACGTAACGTTCATTTGTAAAGGTCACAAAGCATATGAATGGGTTCAATGAATTTAAAAGATACAAAACATACTGTTAGAAGGAGAGGATTGTAATGCGCCGCTGTGGCAACGAATGAAAAAGTCTCTGAAAGTATGAATCAGTAAGTTGTAGTTGTATAGGGTGTTACAAACTTTGTTTCTTTTTTACCTTATTAGTTTGTTTGAAAAATATTTTTTTAAAATTATGGATTACTGGTACAATAAATGAACACACGTCTAACGCTACTTGCGTTAGACGTGTGTTCATTTATTGTCGCGGTTGTAAGGACACGCTGTATAATGTGTACACATTTATAATAGTAAGAATAAAGGCTACTTGCTTTTTGCGAACATGGAAGGAAAAGGCATGCGCTGACTATATAGTCACATTCTTATTTTTGCGCTGAGTTGACTTCTTAAGTGGATGTCGACTGAGACGAGGGCATGCATTGTGCCACGTTTAACATAATATCCTTCGAAGTAAAAAGGGGAAAATTACCATGAACTTTACCTCGAAGCGGGTGGCGCACCACCCTTAATTTGCGCCTGGGCGGGGGGGGGGGGGGGGGGGGTTATGCACGTCACTAAGTGGGCGTGCCATCCCCCTCACTGCGGTGGCTTTTAAAGTAACTCTAGTGCAGTCTAGACATTAGTATGTCTGTTAAATAAAATTCCTAGAAGGAAGACCAATAAAACAGAAGACTAAAATACCTATAAAAATAAGGCCTATAAAATAGACCTTCAGACAGACTTTCTTAATCTTTTTCTGTTTTAATGAAATAGGAAGACAATATAATTCATATTGTTTTCGTAGAATTTTTAATGAGAAAATAAATTAAGCCTTTATGAACATCAAAGGACAACTCGGTTAAGCTATTCTTTGTTGAAACACAGATATTTTCCAATTCTCAAAAATAATTTTATTTTTGAGAATTGGAAAATATCCAATTCCAATTTCAAAAATATCAATTTTCCAATTCTCAAAAATAATTTTATTTTTGAGAATTGGAAAATATCTGTATTGATACAAGCTGTGGAGGGAGTTGGTCATAATCCCAACAGCAGATTGTTTTTTTTTATTGCCCTTACTTTAGGATAACCTCATCCTGTGTAGTAAGGACGTTTTACAAACATAAATTGCACGAGGACAAACACCCAATTGCGAAATAACTATCTGTGGGTCGATAGTTGTCCCGTGTGGGAAACGAACCCACGACCCCCGACGCCGAAGCCAATACCTTGGCAACCGCCCACGGAGTCATCGAAACTTAAGTTTAACTTTAAGAGCAAACTTCGGATTGATTCAGAGTACTTAATTCTACTTATTATATTGTTTACTAACTTTAGCTTAATAACTTATTTTTCTTCGTTGTGACGTATTAGAGAGATAGGTCTTATGGGTGTAATCTTTTTAGTCATATACTAATTTCAACGTCGTGGAACTGTGGAACAATGGGGATTATCGTATAGTCTATGAGATATTGTATATGAATGATGTGGTTAAGTTGAATTATAGAAACTTGGTTATAGATAGAGAGAGGTGACCTGCAGAGTTTCTGCTCGGTTTTACCTCGCTGTTCATTCCAAGCCAATGTTGTTTGCACAATATTGTATATCAATAAACTGAATAAAAGACGAACTAGTTGTAACCAAGATTGAACGTAGCCATTTGTATAACTAGATTAAAGTGGCGCTTTGAAAATTCAACGCTGGCGTGGATCGAGGGCTGTTTGACCGTAATCCGTCGGAAGCGCACGAGGCAGCATATCCTCATGTGCGAATGTGTTTTACAATGTCGCTAAAATGCTAAGCACTTTTGCACATATTTCACTGTAAAAGATGTGGAGCTATCGTAACAATAAACGATACAAATTTCTTCAGGATGTGCTGTTTGAAAGTAAATAATAACGATAGTAACTACTACTAATTTACTAATGATACCTTCAAAATAGTTAATGTTACTGTCGTGTGCATTTATTTTGATAACGACAACATAATATTTACGTTTGGCTATTTTTATTTTTTATTTGTTATTTTAAAGATATATATGTTATTTTATAGTAAATGTAATTACAAATATATTAAGGAAAAAGAAGAAAAGAAACGGTAAGAATTAATAGTGTACAGTTGCATTTTGTTCTATGGAGGAGGCCTATGTTCAGCAGTGGACTCAAACAGGCTGAAATGATGATGATGACAGTTGCATATACTCTATTTTCGCGCTTTAGAATTTCAAAGAGTTAATTTCAAAAGCTATGTTATGCCATTTGTGCGCATTAGTCATCAAAATGCACATCAACTAAAACATAGAACCGGAACGATAATTTCTAAGTCTAAGGAGTCATTCTGTAATATATCGACTCATCATAAAATAATAATATGTTGTCCTTGACCGTCTGGCAAGTTTTTTCGTCAGCATTAGCACGAAGAACGGGGCAATTTAAAATATAGTTTCGATAACAAACGCTACATAAGTTTTCCATATCGTACAAAGCGAACTAGTTTGGAACGGTAACACACAATAATTAATTATTAATATATTTTGCAGGTCGTGTTACAAATATATTTGATTTAGTTTTTTATAACACGGTTTTATCTTGCTTATTGAGTAACCAATTAAACTTTATACAAGCGAATTCGTGTAGTAAGTTAACTAAATTTATTGAGGTTCTACCACGTTGCAGTACATCTGTTGTTGTACGAATGACAGGCTCAGCCGGGGTAGGACAGCGTTCAGTGGAAAGCTTAGGTTATTTCAATGGGGAGTGATGATGTAGATGTTCATGGGCGACAGTATAGTCACACCAACATGTGAACCGCTTGCTCGTTTTGATACCTCACAACATAAAAAAGACTGGAATTCTGTTAAAAAAATGACGATAGCACTTGATGATAATTTATTATTATTTTAATAACTTATTATTTTCTTTGAACAAAGGCAAAATAAACTTTTCAAGCCGTAAAGAATCTTTTTAGTGTTTCTTTCCTCATTATTTAAGAGATCGATTTATTTATCTAAAGAATTGACACTGTTTTTCTCTCCGTTCTCAAAATAATTTTACTGATAAGTACTTCTAGTCACTTTTCTTCCTTCTATGCCAATTCTTTTACAGTTACTGCTATACATACGTCTTTGAATTCTCTCCCCTTAGATATCAAACAATCTGAATCTTCCGATTCTCAAAACTAACTTAAAATTTCATTATCTATCCTCTTAATCTACTATCTATCGTGCATTATATATTATTTTCTGTTTATGTGTATATAATGTTATATGTTTCTATGCATGTACTTTTCTTATTATTTATTTAGTAGGTATACCCCTACCCCTTTCTTCTTTTCAACCGACGTCAAAAACGTAGAAGGTTCTCAATTCGACTGTTTTTTTTTTAATGTTTGTTACCTCAGAACTTTCGACTGAGTTAACCGATTTTGATGATTATTTTTTTATTTGAAAGCTGGTGCTTCCCAAGGTCTCATATTAATTTTATTAGTGTTGGACCTTGAGATACGTAGGGAAATCCTGAAAATCCGTTATAAATACGTAGATACGTAGGGAAATCCTGAAAATCCGTTATAAAATGAATACAAAGCGAGATATTTGAAGTCGGTTTTGTTTTTCGTTAATATAAAATTGACCTTCTGCCCGCTTAATGAATCTTCTGCCCTAAGGTTGCCTTGAAGAGATCGCTGTTTAAGCGATAAGGTCGCTTGATATGTCTCTTCGTGTAAAATAAAGTATACTTTACATTTACTTTACTTTAATTTTTCCACTGAATGGTATTGGTGTGCAGGTTCCACTGAGGACTTACGACCGGAGGAAGTATTATCGGGCAGGTCCACGCCTCTCGCTCGGCCCCGAAAGGAAACAGCCGGTCAGCCACTTCGCACCAACAGGTACACCGAGCTCAATACACACGTTGCTACCTCCATACCATTATTAATATTTTAACTTCCTAGAGTGTACTTTGCGTGACACAGAATGCGTAATCATTTCTTAAATAGGCATATTTAAGTAATGTGTGTGTGGCCATAAATAAATCTGAAGAAAACTTTCTTTTTATTTGAATATTTGTGCGTCATAACATCAATAACATCTAGTTTTTTAGCGAAATTAAATTAATCATTTCATTTCCCTAAGAATTTTTGTTACATAAACGCTTCAATTGAAAGCCACGTACTTGTCGCTGTATGCTTATAAAACTATTGATTAATGGTGACAAGTTACATTAAAACGACTCGGTTGTCTTAACTCGTTGGTCGTTACGTAAGCCTATTAAGTTGTTAAATACCACAAGAAGCGGTGCGATTGCTTCTACATAATCGGCTTACTTAGGAACTTGTGTCGGAAATAGATTATAAAATTATTAAGCGTATAAGAAAGATATTGATAAAGTAGAAAGTTGTACGACGTTTTCATCGATTCTTGCTAATGAATTAGTTCCTTAATTATTACGTAAAAAGAAATATTTGCAATCCTTGAGATTACATTAATAAATAAATAAAAAAATGTTATTAATATAACACAAAGCTGTTTTATCAATAAACATAGTTCCTTAGATAAGTCTGTATAAAATATTTCTTCATACCTACTTGTATTGTTTTCTTTTCTTTTATCTTATTATGTTATTAGTTTTCCAATGTCGTTGCGTAGGTGTCTATTTGTGTTTAAAAATAATATTACTTGTTGTTAATGTATTTGCTTGTAGTAGTATCAGTAAGGGACTTAATTAGTCAAATTCATTAATATTCATTACACTTTGATGGCAAAAAGGCATATTAAAATGTAATTAATTTGTTGTGTAATTAAATTAATTAACATATGAACTTTTGATTGAAAACGATTATTTTTAATAGAATGTTTAGTACATTTATTTCTAGTTTTCATTCTCTTTGCGTAAAAATAAATTCAATGTATAAATCTGTACGGTCTGAGATTTGCTATTAAAATCTTCAAGGCGTTGAATATATTTACTTAGTTAAGTAAATATATTCAACAAAAAATACTTTTCTCAAAATTAAACTATTTGATATTTGTTCATGCCTTAATGAAATGAAATTTTATAAAATAATGATAGAAATAATTTATCTTGTTCAAGTTTGAACGAATGATAAAATTTTCATATTTGCACCTATAAATTTCGTGTCAATAAATTGAATTAGAACGATTAACTTCAGTCATTACGTAAGTAGGAATTTGCTGTCCACTGTTTCATTAATTTAATCAATTTACGTCTACCATACATAGCCAATTACGTCTATCTTAGGGTGTTTTTGTAATGGTGATTGTTTGATTTGCTAGGTTCGGTTTCAGGCAGCCGCACAGTAAGACGGCCAAGGTGGCCGACGTGAGCGTCGCCGCCGAGCCCGCGTTCAACGCACCACATAAGGATAAGGAAACCGCCATTAATAATAACGCTTTAGGTCAGTGTGTCTCGAAGTATAACCCTCGGTGTTTTGGACAAGTTAAAAGTTTTAAAATTATATGTTCTTAAATAAGCTACTTAATCCTTAACTCATTTTTTTGCTTCTTGCGAGCCGAAACCATGAACCATATCGTAGTTTTACCGAGAACGTAATGATGCGATAGATTATGTATATGCCTGGATTTTAAAACTTTAATAAAACCTATAATAGTAAATTAAATACTTTGCAAATTAAAATACATAAGTTTTAAAAACTAAGGTCAGACAGCGTCAGAGATTGTTGAAGATTTTCAAACAGTTGTTGCAACGCAACTATCAATGACATCAAGTGTGGGGGGTAATAATGCCCAATTCCTATGAAATGACGATTTTCTTTTTATTTGCCATTAACATCTTCGTTTTAAGCACATAGTTTTTATTTTCAATTTACTTAACCTTTTAATAAAATCATTTACATGACTGTGTTTGTTGAAACTAAATAAATGTATTCATGCATTCATATTACCTACATACATACTGTAGATTATATTTAATTTTTTTTTATGCCCATTTCTTTATACGAAACAAATTATTAAGATATCATTCATTCAACGTGTCGTGACTAAATGACGTCACTCGTTGAATCGTTGTGAACCGCATTTATACATGTTAGTAAATACAACATTGTTCTCCGATTGTCATTGCCGCGTTCAATCACGTTGTTGATCGTGAGAGATAAAATAAAACACTTCTCTTATAAAATAAACATACAGTAGCAATAAGTACTGTTACTTACGACAGACTCAGGTTTCAGTAAATAACTAGACGCCATATTGTCTTTGGTAATGCAGTCAGTACGAAAAACCCAAATCCTGAATTAGCTATCGCTTAACTAGGTTGTCGAGTTATAAACGATCGTGTGATCGTGGCAAAGGCAAGGAAAAGATTTTAGATTGCAATAATTATGATTTTGTTCGTCATAACATGTTTTTGTTTTATCGGTACTTAACGATGTATATTTTTAATTTATTTTTGTTAGCTGTATGCATGAGTTGTACGCCAATCTGCTTATAAGGCAAAAATCGTAGGATAGTGCTGCACATTTAATGTTGTTATTCTATTTTCTTTTTTCAATTTACGCCGAATAAACATTTCTTTCTTTTCTTCTTTCCATAGGTATAAACAGTGTATTGGCCAACTAATAACATAGCGAGCTTTTGCAGATAAAAAGAGTACAAATCCCACGTGCAACAACCAGTTGCCGATGGTGGCGACACAGGTCACTTCGAGTGGTGTGACGACTGTCATCGGTGCCGGCGGGCTTCCAAAGCCCGTCACAAAGCAGACCGTTATCCTAACATACCAGACGCAGCAATACGCCCCGCAGGTAACAGTGTCAATTAAATTGACGACGGATGAACGAACTGGTCTTGTCAGTGTCGATTATCTAAGGTCTCTCGCTTAGTGAGCTCGCTAAATTTCTTCTTCCGTTATTATTAAGGCGGTGACTGAAGTTCCTCAGTTTTGTTTTTAATCTTTTTTTTTTTACTATTAAGTCCAATAATATTAAAATTCCTAATGATACTATAGTATAAAATATCTGGATAGGATAAATGTACAACAAAGCTAAGAAGATAATTATAACATTGACTTATAAGGGATTTTTGTGAACGTATTGTCATTATAATGCAAGTAATTAATTTACGTCTTTTATATTATCCGATAAAATGTTTAAATTTTCTTCCTAGATAAGATTTTGTTATAAATTAATGAAATAGACAGCATTCTTATTAATTTATTATTTAATTTTAAGTCCCCCTATCCTATAAAAATATAATTATGTTATTATTTGCATATTTTATTAATCGAATAGAAAATTAATATTATTAATGATAAGGATATAATTAAATTCGTGTTACGCAAGTAATTTAGTCATACCGTTTTATATGCTAAAGTTCTTTTGTCTTCGTAACTGAATTTGCATTTAGGCGTACCCCTTTGCAATTGCACTTGTTAGAATTGGCGGGACAGTCGTCAAGGCCGAGGTTAACTGCTTCTGTTGGCTTATTTGTCGTAAGGATGTATCGATTTAAGCTTTAGAATGTAATACTAAAGTATTGTGTTAAAGTATACTAAGTTATTGTACTAAACAATGTTGGTGTTTTCTAACTATAGATTGAGATTAATGAATGGCACGCTTGCCGCATTACTCCTCAATCGTTCGATGGGTGCTATTATGGTATGCTGAGAGATTATTAAAATTTCAATTGAACGTAACTTTTGCAGTTGAATGTTATTCTGGGCAAGGTTTTAATTTTTTATCGCATTATTCTATGAAGCGGATAAAGTTCAAATTTCTGAAACGATAATAACTTAATAAAATAATAACCTGGCCGATTACTTTGAAATTTAAAAAAAGACTAATTCAATGTATGTTAATTCATTTCCTTGAATAACTATAACTATAGATTAATAAACAATAATAAAAATTACAACTATATTTTTATTAAGACGTTGATAACAATTCAGTGAAAAAAAGGGTGTAGCAATAAAAGCATTACAATACTAATAGTATAGTGGGTTTTCTTTTCAGGAATTTTTATTAGTCGCTGAGGTATGAGTCGATTGTTGAATATCAAAATAATAAACCATAACTGTAAAGAAATACGTATAAACTTCTTTATTAAATTTAAAAACTGTTGTAAAGTCATATTTCAATTTAATGCTTTCAAACGCACATTACTTGATGCAACTTTGTAATTTTTTAATTTCAATTAACGCATTACACATGAAATGCAATTGGCAGAAACTCAGTGTAAATTTTTTCCGCATTGTTGGCATGTGGTGTCGTGGTGTTCGTTAGTTTTGTGTTTAAAATTATTTTTTTTATGTTAAAAAAATGTTTCTATTCTGAATTTTTTTGTTTTGTTTCCTATAAAATGTATTTTCTATACAAACTTATTATAAGTAGGTAAAATACGAATTCGAAAGCATCACAAATTCACTTATTTGGTGAACAGGATGGCCGACCCAAGCCAGCTCCAAGGGGCGAGCAAGGAAACATACGCGCAACATCTGTTGCTCGGACATCTGGTGAGGTGACCAAGCCCCCGGGCAAGTACACCTTCCAGACCAATCAGCTGCCCAGACCCCAATTTCCAGCTGTTAAGAACATAGACCCGAAAGCGGCTAAACAGGTAACATTAGAATGACTTTTGAATTAATAGTTATCTATGTTTCTCCTTCGGGATAAATTTGCGATAAGAGAAAACGTTAGAAATCTCCATACACATTGAAAAAATCTCAACGGATACCCTCTTTCATTGAGTACTTTCGCTAATAGCTTTGAAAAAATATCTACTACGTCCATTATCGATTAGGTAAATGGAAATAGACCGTAACTCTAATGGTTGGATGTTCTTTTTGTTTGCACTCGGAAATAGGTCATAAGTTATCTATTTCTGCGCTGCCGATTTAGCAACCGGGAGCGGCAGTTCGCTAAAAATATTTCTACTGCACTCTGCATCGTATTTGAAACAAATGAGATTGACTGTCGGAGATATTTTTCCAGATTTTTAAAGCGGTTTCCAGATGTAGTGTTGTGGACAGGATTGTAAACATGACAATATTTTAAAGAAGTCAGCTATTATATCGGTCTTAAATGTAAAAAGTTAGTAAAGCGTCTAGGCGCAATACCAGAAAACGCGGGTTCGAATACCGCAGCGTCAAAAGTTATTGTTCATTCATTTACAAAAAGTTATAAAAAATATGTTTATATATGTACAAAGCCTTCTCTGTAGAGGGCGTATTAGGTCATAGTCCTCCACGCGATTGGCGGACTTCACATGTTTTTGAAATATTTTTTTTTGGTATTTACTTATTACCGAAACGCAGAAAGAGATTGTGAACAGCCGTGTAAAGCCATGCATAACATTTTGCAATGAAATGACCTAATAAAAAATATTAACCAAGCGTCTACTCGTTTTAATCATACTTCTGCCGCGGAACGTAACGTTTGTGTATAAAAAAATATAAAAAAATTAACTCATGTGACCGTAGAAGAATTTTCTTTTTGGATGTAAGTATAGGATATCCCGAGACATGTTTAGAGTAGTAGCGTGCATTTAAAACGTGGGTTGCTATTTTTAACAGGTTAACTATGTTTTTTATGTTTGGGACATTCGGTTATTGGTTGTCAGGGCCTCTGCATATTTACTTAGTTATGAAGCTTTCACTGCAGTAAAAATATGGTCAATAGTTGAATATTAATTTTGGAGTGTTTTGATTTGAAGTGAAAGTTGTAAAGGTATTTGTCTTATATTTTACTATTTCCAGGTGGTAAACAACACTAGGAAGGCTGGCGCGACGGACGGATGGAGGGAAGGTAATATTTATTGTTTTTAGACCTTTGAGTGTAATATGTTGCAATCTCTATATATTCTCAAAGGTGTTTATTGTCGGTACGCTAGAACTTCCATAATTCTGTATCAATTTTTATGACTCTCAACATAATTTTAAAGCTTATGTTGCGGCCATTGACGAAGACGACACGTAGAATAAAGTTATTGTTTTCATGAAAATACCTTGGTATAAAAATTTCATATTATAATACCATCTATTGACTGTTTATTTAAATGAAAGATACTTAGTAGAAGAGATGAATTGGCCTAAACGTTAATTTGCTAAATAAGATACCTATTATTTACATATTATATTACTTTTTAATTTGCACGGGTCAACTATTTAATATATATACCTAATGTTTATTCAGTCTAGATCAATAATGGCATCATGCAATATTTGAAACCTCGCAAAAATATGGTACACTGCAATTTCGCAAAAATATTCATGTGCACATATCTTTTTCTTGTTGATGTCGTAATGGCTCAACGAATTTTAATGAAATTTGTGAATTGTATCTTTTTATTCCATTCCACACCCTTGCGTGTTTGTTTGTGACAATTGAATTTACAGGCAAGGCATTTACAGGCATATAATTAGTGGTTTCTTATATTTAAGCGTATGACACAATTTTTTTTTTGATTTACAAAATTTTTTTTATTTCAATAGAATCTAACACTAAAGCAGCTATGGTTACGGAGCATAACCATTATTGCACAAGACTTGATTGCTTTATGCTCCGCTCGATGTTGTTGATCTTTTTATGTGAGAACGTGGCAAGCATTCGCAACACCCGTAAGGTTGCAGATGCGTTGCCACCTCTTAATAAAACGAGCCCGGGGTACCTCACTCTCTAGATGAAACGCAGAGGTATAACACTTTCACTACACGTCCGTCTTCTGTGAGGTTATGGTGCATTACCAGAGGAGCAAGTCGCTTGGTGCAACAGCAAAGACTGCTGCGGTGGCCGTACTACATTTTGAATAAGATCGGAGGCTTTTGCCCGGTTTCTGAAACACTGATCATTACTATCATTCTGATCTATTTATAGAATTTAATCATCCTTTTGGCAACTCAAAAGACATTCGAAAAGCCATTTGACAGCTGATTACTTAATTTCTACGATGATCAGTGTTTCAGAAACCGGGCGTTTATGTTGTGAAACGGTACAAGTCGGCACTTAATCGTCAGGGGCTGGTTCGGCAGTGTCGAGCGACTCCGGCGTGTGGACGGGCGGCGAGAACGGTGCCGGTGATGGGTCGCCATTGGCCCGCCGTCGCCCCCGCAACCTTGAAATGGTGATGCGGGACACGCACACCTTCCACCTCAGGGAGTTGCAGGTCGCCGATCTAGACATCATGGGTACGTCTGAAACATAGTCTCTTGTATTAACTGATGTTCTTGCTTTCAGTCCCGAGACTATTAAAGCTTCATCTGACGCAGAACCGGTGGGCTAGCCAGAACCCACGGGTTTGGGCCCTCCGCTGTGGGTAAGGCTGCACATGTGCTCATGCGTGCGTTTAACTATGGTATGTCATCTAAGGGTCATCGAGGTTATGGTTCAGACCGGGACCCCGATGGCCGTCGACTGTGTTTTTAGCTAATCAGGAGATATTTATACATAGATTCTTCATCTTTTTTTTCTTTACCCCATATAGATTTTATTATTTACTCAGGACCGCTCAATATGTGGTTCGCATTTGTTATGCTATTGACGCGTTTTTTCATACATCCAGATCCGCAACAATTAGCTGTGGAACACACAAATACTTTTTCCATGTCGGAATTGACTACATTCCACTATCCTGGCGTCAATTTAGCAATGTCGCCAACGAGTCATTTATTATTAATATTTTTGTTTTGGTTTATATTTGTATCTTTGTGAAATATATCTAATGGCCGATTCGCCCAAATTTTCAACTTTCATACGATTGAATATTAATGAAGACTTTACCTTGAGAAAAGTAGCAATTAGAAATATTAATGAAGACTTTACCTTGAGAAAAGTAGCGATTAGAATTGTTAATTCATTAAAAGTTTTTCTGGCCGTCCATTTATTTATGTAGGTTATAACTGATCCAGCGCACTGAAATGGTTGCAGGGTAATAATACGGATAAATTAGGCTTCAATTGAAAGTGTAAACAATTCGTTCATGATTAGAGTAGACACCCAAACAGCTCGTTTAAAGCGACCACATTGGCTTTCATTGGCCTTTCTCGGTAGCATTATGATGATGATAAGGTTACATGTTACCTATTCAATATTACAAGGTCGACCTCCACCGAGTTGCTACTCTAATCGGGTAAACACCAGCGTGAATTGGAAGTGTATACTTTCGTATTTCGCCCGATGTTCACACACCGGAACGGACGAACAACTGATCAAAGTCTGGCTGTTGCCAGAGGCGCGTTCAACTCCTGGCTCACTTTTGCGATCCCATGCACCGTAATCACTAAGGAACCAATAACTTTTCTTAAAATAAATACTGGCTTACAATAAAATAATCGACCGCACGTATACTAAATATACTAAAGAGCACTTCTCGCTTCCGTGATTTGGATACCGCTGACGTTGGTCCAATCAAGTGCAATTGACAGAGCGTTAATTCACGTGAATTGTAGTTATTCCTTGTCGACTCTACCACTCAAGTGGAACGAATGTTGTAGTGGGTAGTGAGGGTTTGATCCCCACTACTGGAAAAATGTTGTGTAATGAACATAGTGTTTTTCTAGTCTGGGTGTTTATATATGTATAATATGTATTTATTTACAAAAGAAAATTATGCTTAAGTAAGTTTATCAGTTATCTGGCACCCATAGTGCAAGCGTTGCTTAGTTTGGGACTAGAGAACGTTGTGTAAAAATGTGTCACAAAAAATTAAGCTGTTATTACACTATCGCAGACGAGGCGGTGGTCACCGGCCACGCGGTGATACCGTTGCCCAAGCTGCCCAGCTCGTTCGAGGGTGAACTGTCCCCGGAGTACGAGGCGCCCGCCCCGGCGTACGCGCCCCCCTCGCCGGTCGCCAAGCCGGCCGAGCCCGCCGAGCCCGCCGGCCAGTCGCCTATGTCGACTCTAGAGCGATACAGGAACCGGAGCAGGCCCTCGAGGATCCAGACCGGGCTGGAGTACAAGGACGAGGAGAAGTTCGTCCTGGATAGGGCGCAGCCGGAGAAGTTCGACAAACAGGTGAGGAAAAAAGAAGTAAAGTACAGCCTTTACAAGCCCCACAGCCGGGCAAAGGCCTCCTCTGTACAGAGGGTGTCAGGGCATAGCCATGGCCACCACGCGGCCCCACTGCGGGTTGGTGGACTTCACATATTTTCGAAATACTTTTCTTTTGTTATTGTTTCGAAAATATGTTTCCTCGCGATGTTTTCCTTCACTGCTGAGCACATGATAAGGCAGCACTTAAAATTAATCATTTTATGCCATTAAATCATTCGGTGCCGGCACCGGGGATCGAACTCAGGTTGCTAGAGTATATTGAATTAAATGCGAGCGCCCGGACACTGCGCTATCATGGCTCAACAAGAGGTGAGGAAAGGCATTAATAATTTCATAGTTTTTTCTTTCTTATGTTAGACACTATCTTGTACTGCGATTAATCTACTTGATGGAGTAAGGATGTAAGGTGGTATAATTGCCAATTTCTATTGCTTACCAGCAGAAGTCACATAAATTTCTTTCCTTGAAGATATTGTGCTGAATGTGGTTAATTCACAAAGACAAAGGAATCCGTTTCATATTTATTTTTACAAGTTCTTTGTAAAACACAGTACAATTTAATCCTTTTCTTTGTAAAACAATATACAGTTAACGATAATTTAGGTTTGTCAAAATTTCACATCATGATGTTTGTATTTCGGGCCACAGAAATCATTTACAAATCCCTCGAGCGGCGTGGTGTCTCCAACAACGGTGAACTCCAGCAAGGAATCGAGTCCGTCTTGCAAGAGCGAGGAGAGCCATTTCGGGAACAGCAGCGCCTGGCAAAGTCACGCCGCCGGGGAAGCGATGGCAACAAGGTATGTAAGAGCCATCATTCATCGTCGATTTTGTTTGTAGATTCTTCTGCTTTCGGTGTTATTTTTTATACGTACAATTTCAAGAGAAAGAAGTGAAAGCGCGTGTGTGCGCGCCTCATTGGACATGATTTTTGCCATCGTTACTTTACCACATATTTAGAAATTAATTAAACTTTATATAAAAATAAATTTAAAAATAAATATTGTAATTGTGTAACGGCGGTCGGCTTGCATTAATATTATTCGCTGTTTGTAGATCACAAGATGATGTGTCGCTGGCCCTAAGTGTTTCAAGCTGCGAAGACGAGAAGTCTAAGTTGGACGCGAAGGAGAACCAGAAAGAAGTGGAGAAAGAAGTGCCGACAAAGACTATCGTCATTGCCGACGAGCCTCCACATCCTCTCCTCATGAAGTCGCTCACATTGAGCCAACACGACTCTCTACGTGGCACCATGATGGGTAAGTCAAATACCCGGAGGACCGTTTGTTTTTTTTTTTGGTAAATCGTGTGTTTTGGAAATTACATTTAGATACAAATTACTGAGTAATGAAATATTACGTAATATTTTTCGATCTTACCGACGTAATAATAAGAAAATATGAAATGATGTTTTTTATAAAAGAAAGAACTTTAAAAAAAAAGGGAAAAAATGACAAAATAACAAATCGACAAAAAATTAAAATAAAGAAAGCAATGATCTGGAATCGAAAAAAAAGTAAAAAAATAAATGTGTAAATGATCGTGACACGAACCACGGCCTTCTGTTTCGGGGCCGCCCGATTACCGACCGAGCTATTATAACATTTTTTTTGCGGCGAAATTTACCGTCGTATTCGAATGATGTTTTTCATTCCCTGAAAACAGGGATAAAAGGACCTTTTCTAAAAATGAAACCTAGCTAGATCGATTTTTCGCCCCCGAATCTACGCACAAACTAAATTTCATGAAAATCGCTGGAGCCGTTTCCGAGATTCCGATTATATATATATATATATATACAAGAATTGCTCGTTTAAAGGATAAGATATAACACTAAAAAAAATGTTATTTTCAAAATAATTTTAACTAAAGAAACAGACAGCACAATGTTGATTCATATGACCCATAGTTTAACATCTTGTAAATAGTAGAAGTTTAGAACCAGTATATTTTGATAATATTACGTTTAGTTGTATATTTGACAGACTAAAGTGACGACGAGTTCACCGTATATAATGACTTATATAAGTTGCCTTAATGGCACGTTAAGTATCCATTATTTGAGTCAATCATGAAAATTTGACACAAAGCTGTCAATCGTTTTTCTATTACGAATAAAATCTTTAGCAGTTTTGTCTGCAGAGACATTGAAGAATACTTAGTTTTAATAGCGCGATATAAAACTAGGTTATGTACAATTCACTCTATGGAGCCTATGCATATGTTAGCCAACTTGATTGACAGAAAAACGCTTAATATATTCGACCTCATAAACATCTTTTTTCGTTACATAGTTGAGGGTCGCTATTTAAATAATTTTTCATACAGTTCCATTCTTACAGTCTGTTAATCATCTAACTGGTAACGCTTCCAGGTTCGATGACGAGCTCCAACTACAGCACGACGAGCACGTGCACAAACCAAAGCAACGACCACCACAACTTGACGCTCACGCTTGAAGAGTCCAAATTCGACATATCTGCCTTGGAGACCTCCACGCAGAGCCTGCTGGATGATGAGACCTCGCCAGCGGACAGTCTCATATCGTCCACAAGCACTAGCGACAGCAACAACGACCTCCACGTGGACAGAGACGCCCCCTCCATATCCAGCGCCTACCAGACCGCGAACACCAAGACCAAGTCCCCGGACCCCATCCTGGAGGAGGAAGACGTCGTTGACGGGGAGGCTCTGTCGCCGGTGAAGGAAGTCATGTAAGTTTAACTCTTAATGCCCTCAAAAGTTTGTATTAAACTTCTCGGTATAACTTGAACATACTTATAATAGAAGCCGTTATCTCTGTCAACTCTTTTTTGTTTGGAGATGATAGAACATAAATCGAAGAAATTAAATTTACAGCTGTGTACACGCGTATAGACGTATAGAAGTAGCAAGGTCTCAAAGAAGACTGACGAGACCATCGGGCCTTGTCACCGCATATGCAAGCCATTTGTTTATGTCATATCTTATAGATGTCCTAACATCACTTTAACCGTCTGCTAGCTTGACCACTTCACTACATAGTATAAAACAAAGTCGTCCCGCTGTCTGTCTGTCCCTATGTATACATAGATCTTTAAAACTACGCAACGGACCTTGATGTGTTTTTTCATGAGATAGAGTGATTCAAGAGGAAGGTTTATATGTATAATACATTGCATACGTGTGAAGCCGGCGCGGGTCTCACATAAAATAGTGTTATCGCACGCAGCGAGGTGGGCAGCGGCGGCGACAGCGGCAGCGGCAGCAAGAACACCACCCCGCCGTCCCCTGGCACTCCCACGCACGCCTCCGGCTCGCTGTCTCTCTCCGACGGGCGCGACTTCTTCGACGACGAGATCGCCGACCAGCCCGCTCTGCTGTTCAGGAGTGAGATCACCACCTAATTTCGAACAGTAGTCCAGCAACATTCTAACTGTGGTAGGACCACGCGACAGTCTTCGCTGTTGCACGAATGGGCAGGTCCGTCCGGGAGTACCACGACCTCACAGACGACCGGCGTGAAGTGGAAGTGTGATCTGCGTTACATCTAGTGTGTGAGATAACTGGCCCACTTTTTTGAAAGATGGCAACGCATCTGCAACTTAACATTAAGTGAACTCGTCAATTACCATCTTCTTGTATAAAAAGAGGCAAGTAAACTTGTCCCGCATCAGACGGGTCCGTGAGTTTACTTGCTGGATTGTACACCTCTGCTGGCAACAACGCTGGCTGCACACATAGTGACGTCAATACGGGCTTCGTTGCTGGATTTTGCTGGTAGATCATACGCCGTTTTCCGCGATAGTTTTGCCACTGGATTATAATGAGAGCCAGCGGAAAACAGTATATTACCATGTGGTTTGGCTAGCGCACATGAGTGACGGTGATTTCTGAACTGCCACTTCGAACACAACAAAACTACCGAGAATCTGGCTTAGAAACACGCACCTTGTGACGCCAACCGTAGAAAATCGCGCGCTTATTTAATATCTAAAGATTCCTCTATTATGTGTTGAGATCATATTAGAAATTCGAATAAAATATCAGTTATATATCAATGTTCCCCTCTTGAAGTATTATCACGTTTTTAAATTCGAATGCATACTTACACAGTTGAATATAACATTTATCGCTCCTTTAATGTAAGATAGGCTTGTATTCCTTTTTTTATCAGCTACATACCTAAATTTAACGACTTTAGTCGGTAAGAACTGCTATAAGGATTTTCAGTGATAAAAATGCAAATATGTAGAAAAATGTTTTCGTTATTATATTGATATAGATTTTTTTTTAGGGTAATGTGTAAAATTTCTTAAACGGATAACACGTATTATTAATTAATAAACGTCTGTATCACATGCACTTTATTGATATTAAAATGCACATTGAAATTTTCTATTCAAAAATATTTCAACTCTTATGTTAAAAGTAATTTAAAAATAGCATAGATCTTTCCACTACTGCCATTTAAAAAAAAATTTAATCTCTTTGGCGGGAAAACAAGCCGTTGTTTGTCTTATTTTGAGCATTTATTATCTTTCGTATGTTCGGATTTTCCTTTAAATTTTTTAAATGTAATATTGATCATTAAAAAATGTTGAATTAAAGTTTAGCGTTTCGATTACTAAAGTTCTTGATTTAAAATTATATTAAATCTATTTTTTCACCATAGAAAATACGGATGGAAGTCCTTCAATGAAAAGGGCGGATTCAGACGCCGCAAAGCAATTAAGGAGATCCAAGGAACGTATCAATTCAAGCCCTCTAGCGCAAAGGAGTCGAAAACGTGAGTGCTACCATTAAAAGTTAATTATAGATTAACTTCAGCTTTTAATATTAATACTACTTTTAATATTAACGTGATCCCATTGAACACTTTTAATTAATTTATAATACACGTATATTCGAATTTCTTCGCGATCTGAGTTTTGGCGCTCATGTTTTTTGTACACGAAATTTTTTGTGGGTAAATTTCTTCGAAAATAAAGGGCACGTGACCATGCCGTTTACAAATGAGCGTTATTGTTGAAGTTGGCGGCAGTCGCAACCCGGCAGCGGAACGCACGCCGTCCCTGGACACCCTCTCCAGTCTCGCATCTGATGACCTCATGATGGAGAACGACCTTGGCAACTCCATCACCAGCCTGCAGAGCGTTGACGATTACATTGAACGGTAAGAGCTCCTTGCATCCGTTACCCAACCACCCACTTTTGTCAGATTTGCCATAATTTTGCTAGAAAGCAATTATCTAAAGAGGCACAAAGTGCTTACATATGTACATGGTTGTTAAAAAAAAACAAACAAACTGGTTCGTGAACACTTGTTTAAGACAACCATTAATTAGGTCTAAGCCATTTTCTGTGGAAGTATTCTTTCTTTAAAAAATAAATAAAAAAAACCACTTTGTTATTGAAAAAGACACGTTTTACACATCTCTAAATTATTTTGAAATTTAAACCTTGTTACATGTGATCGTTTTTTTAGAGTGATTTCATCACGTCACTGCCACTGAGTTTTGATCAGAACTCATCATTGTAATGTTAAGTAAAGACTAATCACAATGAGATGCGAGAGTGCGATTGAAACTGGCAGGTCGCGGTGCCTACCAGAGAGCTGTAGTCGACAAAAGCGTCAAACTAGGAGTAGAAACCAACCAAAAACACCGTTGGCAAAGATCATTCAACATCAACAGAATTGATCGGCTACTAAATACATCTTAAGTGCAAACCCCGAAAACACGAACCTTCATCATCATCATCATTTCAGCCTATTTGAGTCCACTGCTGAACATAGGCCACAGAACGCCTTGAAGCAGCTTCATGAGCCTCCTGCACATTGGCAAAGGTCGTCACTCCATCTAGTGGGGGGTCCTACACTACAATGGCCAATATGAGGTTGCTAATCGAGAACTTTTCTACTCCATCGGTTTTCCTTTCTTCGTATAGCTTATGAATGAAACTTACAGTAAGTTATACTATACGTAAAGTTCATTCATATAGCTATAAAAAGAACGGTTGCGATCATAATATTCTGTCCCGAGGCTGGACAGTTCGCTGCGAAGCGGGCTCAACTCGCTGGACGAGAGGCAGCTCCGCCAAGAGCTGTCCTCGTCGAAGGCGACGGTGCGCCAGTGGAGCCAGCTGCTGGAGAAGAACAATATACTGGACAGGCAGCTGGCGGCCATGGCGCAGGGCAAGCACGGGCCCGACTCGCTCACGGCGAGCAACAACAGTCTCGCCAGCGTCGGGTGAGTGCTGTTTTTTTACTATACCTCTTTTAGTGTGTTCAGGAAGAAAGGGATAAGTACCTTTATAATGTGCACACAGTGACAAGAAGTTAGTGCATAAAACTCCTATTATTTTGTCGATGAAACTAAAAATATGAAGTTAGTCGATAAACCTTCCTTTTTTGATGATATTGATGCGCGCTCACAGCTACATGAAACGAACAAAATGAAGTTAGTCGATAAACCTTCCTTTAGTTCCTTAAAATCAACGTGTTACGTTTATCCGGCAACCATCGTCGCATTGCTAGTTTATTTTGCTACGCCAAAGAAAATTCCTACTTGCGTACGCACACTTCACTTTCAGTGCTATTGAAAAATTCCGAGTTGTGGTGAGTGTTTTCGGTTTTGTAAGCGTGTATTTTTAGGTGCTTCTTGCACATCGTGAAATTTTGAGTATGCTAGTTTCGCGCAGATGTTTTCTCACTTTGCAACTCGTACTATTTTAAGGAAAGGTGGAATCTACAACATTTATTTTTCGACTTTCGTTTGTTTCATCGTCGGCGGATTGGCATCGCTTTATTAGTCAAAAGCTATAATGATAAAGTAAAAAAAAATACATTCAACTCCACTGATAGATAATAATAATGTATGTGTCAATTATATTCTATATGTATGTGCCAATATGTTCTATGACGTGAGAAAAACTGCGAAGGTTGGATGGATAAGAAAAGGTGGACAAGCTCTTATTATAATTTTTCTCTTATTTATTCATGAATTGTTTTATTTGTTTGATCATGACTTTGTTGTTGTTTCCATTTTATTTCATGTTGTTGCTAGTCTGCTGTGTGCATTATGGTGAATGTGAAATTAACTTTTTACGTTAATGCTTGTGAGCTTATAAATTGTTAAACAGTTCACACATTTGCCCCCCTATTACGAAACCAACACGACATTCAGATGTTGAATCGCGTTACAAACAGTAACAATGCTCGTTTGCGATTAAATACCTGAATGTTATCACTACGAGTATACAGTGTGAACACGATAATGAACGTTTGGTTAGAGACTACAAACTATCGAATGGTTCTAACCAGTCGGTTTGTTGTTCGAAAGTCATATGAGCCTTTAGCGTTTCCTATGCCTATTAATATGTACGAATTGTAACTTAAGAAATATTCAAGCATTATATAAGATGATTTCAGATGTGTTCTGAAATATACGACCCTAAATGAGCCCACTTATATGTTAGAGTAAATCTTAAATAAGATGGAGATTATGGGGCTTTGTGTTATTTGTAGATTAATAAGTAATTTTGTTACTTTATTATCATATCTATGCTCTAAATAAGCTCAAATAAACAGGAGTAAATTAAGTTATACATTTTAGTGTGTGTATTCAGTTTATACAGCGTGTCGTTACCATCGCGACAATAAATGAACACACGTCTATCGCTACTTGCCAATAATCATAAAAAAATATTAACGTTAAACAAAATCCATAATTAAAGAAAAATATTTTTCAAACAAACTAATTAAGTAAAAAAGAAACAAAATTTATAACATCCTATACAACTCGCGCACAGCGTCGTATTACAAGCCTCTCTTTCTAACAGTATGTTTTGTCTCTTTTAAATTCATTCAACCCATTCATATGATTTGTGACCTTTACCAATGAACTTTACGTTACGCTTTTATAGGTAAGGGTGTTCTAAAATTCTTTGTTTTGGAAAATTTAATAACTCTGTAAATATTGATGTTTAAAGAATTTACATGTTTAATACAACTTTAAAAAGTTATCCCCTATATGTGTGTTCATTTATTGTCGCGATGGTAACGACACGCTGTATATTAAAGAAACTTTATTACTATTCATTTGTTTAGCTCTTTCAAAATTTACCACTTATTCCTTTTATACACACATAATTATTTTTTACACTTTTTGTAATTTATAATCGCTCACTTCTTTGTGATAGTTGCACATTTTATGATATATTTAAAAAAACATAAATGAACTTTCAAAGCATCACACAGTAGAGATGAATTTGAAATATCCGTTAATATTTAGCACTGTAAAAGTTAAGCTTACTTTATACAAATTCATAAATCATGAAGAAAATTAAAAAATGCCTAACACGTTTAGGTTTACCTGAGTTTAAAGTAACCTATTTTTCTCAAACCACTTTTCAATCTCAGTTTGTGTAATGTTCCGTCCCAACAATCTACTCTAAATAAAAAAAAAAAACTGTTTGAGGCAGACAGAACATTTAGCAGACCAATAATGTAAAATAAAAAGGGCCCTACGAATAGTCCCTGGGGTGCCCCCGTTCGACATAAGGAATCCTTTGACACGAATTTCTATTATGGTGGTAGACAAGATATTTATTCGTTTAAATTAGTTAACTGTGGTGAAGCCACATAACAGTCTACGCTATTACACGAATGAGCAGGTCCGTCTGGGTAAAAACAACGACCTCATAGAAGATCGGCATAAAGTGGAAGTGTTATACCTTTATGTTTCGTCTGGTGAGTGAGGTAGCCGGGGCGCACTTTATAATAAACCTGCAACCCTACGAGTATTGTAAATGTCAATGGACGGCGGTTATCACTTAACATCAGATAAACCGACAGCTCGCTTGCCACCTTCTCACATAAAAATAAAATACCGGTCAAGTGCGTGTCGATCTCGTACTCCGAGAGTTCCATACCTTATACCGCCATAACAAAATTGGTAAACAATCACCACTGATTTTCTCAGGAACGGGTGGATTTATAGACCCTATTAGGAATATAAAAATGAAGGTCGTGAGTTAAAACGATAAAAAGATATGGGCAAATTTAGATTTTCGCGAAAACTTGCAAGTACCAAAATTTTCCTTAATTTTCAACCTTTTTTATATTCGGGATTTTCACTCTACTTGTGCTGTAAGAGGTCGCTTTTAACCAAATTTGACAATTTTAGGTCAACCGGAAATACCCTATAGATATTGGGTCGAAAACCTATATGGTAGTTCCCGTCGATCTATAATCACGAAATTTGGCAAAAAGCAAGGTCTTAAATCATAAATATAGGCCAATAATAAACTTAGGCCTGAGTATCTGGTAAAAATTTCAACTTGCTAGGTCCACCCGTTCCTGCGAAAATCGGTGGTGAAAGACGGACAGAGAGACGGACATGAGAGTGATCATATAAGAGTTCCTTTTTTTACCTTTTAAGGTACGGAACCCTAAAAACAAAAACTGTGGAATCAAACGAGAAACTTACTGCATATTATACCAGCAAAGTAAATCAATAAAATAATAAATGTAAAATTAAATTCTCAACTAACAATTATTAATTGCTGGAGCATTACGAACGAAGTTACGTGATTGAAATTGATTGATGTTAAAAAATTAAATTGACAATGTGGACGCACTCAAGCATGTCGATATCGAAGCAACGCTACAATGTTTTCCAAATATATCGACGGCACGAAAAGATAACATCCACAACAGATAACCGATAACGACGTTTCATCGAAATGAAACAATGGCTTCGATATTTCACCCAAACGAGTTGTCGTTTCCGATAAAACAAATTACTCATATATTATGTTAATAATGTAAGTGACTTAGAACATACATAATTAGTAAATAATTAAATTCCAGTAAAAGTAAATGAAGTAATTTTGGCATATAAAAATACACTTAAGTTTGTTACACCAATGAGCCATATAATTATATGCATATGGTGAGGTGTACATTTGAAATTTAAAAAGCTCGATGAAGAGTGTTAGTTATATACTAGGCACATTTTCCTATCTACTTTGGTCGTCAAAAGATGGATCTTATTTCTAAACATTTTTGTACACGTGACAATTTCGACCTCATCATTGCCTAATCTAATAATTAACATTTTATTAATTTAATAAAGTTTCATGTAAATGAAACTGACACCAATATTGAATCAATTGGATTTATTGTAATTACATAAACTGATGTTACTTTGATTTAATAAATAAAGCGTTTATCGCTTTCTCGTTCAATACTAGCTTGTTAACACGTAAATAAATTAGTATATTATAATATATAGTATCAGGAGATATGGTGATGTAACAAATTAGTTTGTTCGTACACAAAAATACTTTTTTAGAATTCGAGCGATTCTCACTAAACGGGCCAATGATAGTGGAAAGTTAGAACATCCGTACGTTCAGAAAAAATCTATTTAATTTCAAATCCGTAATTAGGCGGGCTTTCTCTTTCGAATGACTAGCACAAATCTCATTAGACTTGTACAACATCGTAACTAGCATCTTAATAGGAGCTTGATGTTAGTCATTTCGAAATTTTGCAATTCACTTCATTTCGGACTTAGTAAACTCTAACTTTTCCCGTCTGTGGCTCGAATGACGATCTGAGAATCAATTATGTGCGCACCGTGACTCCAGAGCACTTAATGGTTCCTTTCTTCAGCGGTCACCTGGCACCGAGTGCAAATATTGCGATGTTTATGCCAAAATAGATTATTTTTAATTGCAGCCACGTAGAATCGTCTAGCACGGTTAAATTAACTACCGTTAATACCGACTGCAAAGTAAAGCAACAGGTTAAACAAATGTTAATATATTTTTAGAATTTTATGAAGGTAAATGTATTTTTCTTATTGAAAAGATGTAATTCGACTACAACTTCTGAAACAGTTGCTGGCTTATTTTAAATTCTTATTAAATTAATTATATATAGTTTTCATATAACCTTTAATAAAAAAGTTCACATCAGAAAATAAACATTTTTCTCACATTTCATAGTCATGAATAGGTATTCAATTTGAAGCACAAAATAAAAGTGATTCATTGATTACACGTGTGAGCTATTAATTCTAGGATTAACTATAAAAATATCGTATAATTTACTACATCTAAATACGTGACAATGTTGAATTGCTCGACATTCTTCAATCAATTGTAGATGATGAAAATGAATAAACTCAAGGAACACATTCAATTGCCAAATTAACTAGCTGTCTGCTGTGTTGGCCTCCATGCGTTGTAGCACACCATTATGATAGACCTCAACTATGATATGAATTGTGGCTTTAAATTTATTATTTTAGTAAATGATGTAATTTTTACAGAGCAACATGTTCATTATTAGAATTCTTACAATTATCTCATACAATACAATTTAATGAATCTTCGCGATTACTTTTCGATTTTGAAATTTTCGAAGATACCCGGAATTACGCGATTAGCCGACCTAGCACGCCGGTTATCGAAAGGCGTTTCGTAAGACAATTTCGCGCTGCTGCGAGCGATTTTCAAGGTGGATTTTACGGAGCTTTGTGTCGAAAGGTCCTTGCACCGTGAGGTAATCAGATAAAGCGGGTCGGTGGGACGGCTGGCGTAGGGCTGTTCATCTCGCCGCGTGCCTGCGCCCGCGTGCGTGCCCGGCCTATAGCTTTAGTCTGCAGCAAGACGCGCGCGCGGCCGTACGTAGCCCGTACGCAGAGAGATACGTGCCTGAATCCCGCGATCGAATCGTCCGATACACAGATCGATCCCGGGTCGTCGAACCGATATTGTGTTTTAACAAGGTCGACCTCCTCGCGAGTGAGTCTCGCTTGCGATCTAGGCGAGACGTAAGTTAATTACACAGTGAATGCACAAATCTGTGGTTGGATTTACAGTAAAGCTCATTAGGACGTGCCCACGTGAATCTTTTAGCTATGTTGCTAATGTTCTGGTCAATGACGTGTTTCTCGACGGTTCTGTTATTGTTATGGACGAGTTTTTAGCTTGTAGCTGTTTAATAACGTATCTAAACAGCTTCCCTTCGTATCGTTGACCCGATCAATATATTAAGCCGGTACTGTGCAATGTGCGTGGGCGTCGTTAGGTAACTTTTAAATGTTCGCAAATGTTAAAATGATAGCAGGATGTTTACAAAATATCTCTCTATTTTAAATTACCGTTTGATCATAAATACAACGATAGCTTTGCGTGACACTACTGCATTACTACATACTATAACTGAGTTAACCCTCGTTTTATTTAATAGCTTTTCCAATATTCTTGCTTACTTGTGGAACGGACAAGAAACATAATTATTAATTATTACATAGAAATTTCGAGTAAACGGAAATAGTATAACTATTTAATTTGAAAGGGGTAATTTTCAAATAAAGTCAATGTGGTACGATTTTAAATAATATCTATTTTTAAGTACAGTAAAATCATCGTCCACGTCGGAAATTCTTGTCAAGTCTCGATCAAATCTACAGTGATACCGAGCATTAGATGTTATAATTTCACCTCTACCCTCTTTAGAGATGACGGCGATACTTTGTATTACGTTTGCAATTAGATCTTAACCCTAACCAACCCTATTGTATATGTATGTGAATTTCGCTTTGCCTCGTTCGTATAGCTACGCGATAAAAAAAGGTAGGTATCGACCACGTGTTTCGTACGCTCCCTTGGTGAAGCCCTTTGAATGGAGACGAGTGGGTATATCCCTTTGTTGTCAGTTCCGTTGCTATGGCAACATTGAATAGCACCGAAAGCTCCTATTGCGGGCTTTCTGCCCGATGCGGCAGTCGCTTTCCAGTGCAGTGCCGAAATAGAAAATAATTATGAGCGATCACAATGTCGAAGACGCATCTAATTACAAAGACTCGTGAGTTAAAAGTGAAACCAATCCATTGTTGCATCTTTTGCTTGAGACGTTGCTTTTATTTTCGTATAAAAAAACCGAAACGAGATAAACGCTCGTCTCTAATCATAATAATACAGTTTTGGATGTTAGTTGGCGCATTATATAAGTTTTTGATCCTTTGCTGTTAGTGTCTATCTACCAATGGAGCTGAATATGAATCTTCGTCCGGGTTTTATGACTAATTGTTATTTCTGTTAGTTACGCCCAAAATTATTTTTTTTATTTCGTAAGGGCAACAAAATTTCCTTATTAGTTAGCTCACTTAATTGATAAGAAACAAAGAATTTTGTTTTGCATTCTTTTTGTCATTTTGAAGTGAGATTTGCTCATTCTTTATTCATTAGTAGTAGTTAGAGTAGGACTTCACGTTATTATCTTTATTAATGTTTGTTGGTCTCTTAATTCATCTTAAAACTTATATTTTATTACTAAAAAGCGGTTTGCTAACGTTTAATGTATTTTAAAGGTAAAGAAATATTTTTTTATTACCAGTAAAATCTCACTATAATTTTATTTAGTATAATGTTATGAAAAATAGAGTGTGTTAAATAATCAAAAAGAAGCATTCGCCCACACAATAATGCTGTTTTTTTACTTAATTTTCGTTTTCATAACCGTTGAGATTAATTGTGAACAGAAACGGCAAGGAATTTACGAAACCTCATCGCCTATTGGAGTTCGCTACTGGATATTGACTTTTGCAATCAGTTGAAATTAAAACGAACGGTAAACTGACGGTTAGCGTCTGGCAAGAACCAGTACTCTTACAGCATACCTGCCTAGAATAAATCGAGAATGTTTAATAGCGTTTTTTGTTATTGTTTTGCTGTGCCGTGCCACACATCGAACCGTCCTATAACACTCCGTTTAGTTTACCCAGTATACCTGAAGAAACCAGTATCTTATTTAAACTTCGCACGCGATACTTGCGATAGTGAAGGAAAATCATATTACTAAAATTGCACTCTATACTACTCACTAGATCTTTCAACCAATTAATACATACAATGCAAATCGATATTTACGTTTATAAAATATTTTTCTTGATTTGCTTTATCCCCTTTTCATATCATTTTGTTTAATTTGTACTCACATAAAGAGAAAGCGAATGTTTTTAACTTTTCAACAAGATTACTTAGTACCAAATGTGACAGGTTCCGTACCCGCGTTTTAAAGGTGACAAGAACGACGTGTTTTTTTTTTTTTTAGTATTAATTGTTAATTATGAAGCGGTGGTTGAGCCGAGAAACTGGCGCCAAACGTGCAATCTAAGCTAAGCCGTCAAATGCCAGTACTGACACCGAGTGTTCTGTTTGTCTGATTATTTACATGTCAGATCAGTTTCACATTTGTGGTAACAAGTTTAACCTTACATTTGGGAATAGATAATCAAACAATGCGAAATTCCCCATCTACCCGTTAGTGTTACAACAAAGAGTATCGCTTATACTATCGCTTGTTGTAGGCGGCTTTTATAGTTTTATTATAATTATGTGCCTACAATGTATAGCTTATGTACAAATCTTATTTCACAACGCTATGTTATCTTTTAAATGAGTTCTTTTGCAGTAGGATAAACTTTGACATAAACATTACCTGCATTGGGCACTGGAAGGAGGTCATTGGCATTGGTCTGTCTAGTTTTTGCAATAAATATGACCGAAAATAACAAAAACGACACATAAACTCATTGTATAGATAATGGTATCGGTGTAAATGATATGTAATAAATAATATTCGACGTGTTTTATCCAATAATGTTCCCAATACATAGAAAAGAAACAGTAAGCTTATTTAAAACTAAGTAACTTAGTAAGCACCGTAAAATGTACTATTTATTTGGACCTTTATTCACATCATTCGTTTTCTTTCATAAAACCATAACAAGCAACCATTCTAATGGTTAGCTAGTAGTAAAATATAAACATTTTAAATACCTGTTCCGACTTAAGCGGATGAACGGATTTATCAAGTGATGTAGAACTAGTTCGTATCTCAGTCTCACTTATAAATTCCACATCAGTTTATGTAACCATATATATAGAAAGTCCGATATAATTTGTCTCAACAGACGCCTTATTAAAATATTAATTATTCCTTGAATGAAAGAGGAAGTCTATTCAAGACGATTGAATTTTGTTACATTCATAACTATCTTGCATAATGCTCCTATTGTAATTGTCAACTATTGTAATATATTTTTTAAATTAATGATTCATTATAGATATGTATACGGAAAGAGAGCCGTGATAGCTCAGTGTCCGGGCGCTCGCCTTTAATCCATATACTCGAGCAACCTGAGTTCGATCCCCGGTGCCGGCACCAATGAAGTTTTTAACTTTAAGTGCTGACTTATCACGTGCTCCGCGGTGAAGGAAAACATCGTGAGGAAACCTGCATATTTTCGAAATAATAACAAAAAAAAATATATTTCGAAGATATGTGAAGTCTGCCAACCCGCAGTGGGGCCGCGTGGTGGACTATGCCCTGATACCCTCTCTATAGAGGAGGCCTTTGCCCAGCAGTGGGACATGTATAGGCTGTTACTTTACTTTTTTTTACTTTTATACGGAAAATTAACAAACATATTTCGGTAAATTAAAGTAATACTCAACTGAGTGCTTCTGAGATGTGGGCGATCTGAATTTTTTATTCGTCTTTATTTTAATCTACATATAACTACTGTACACAAAAATTCTCAGCTTAATTCTATCGTTGGAAATAAGTTTATAGATATACCATTATTGAATTATTACATTAGTTTAATTGGTTACAACGATTGAAACTTTAATTAAAGATTAATGATCTTAATCACCGCGTCAACCAATATAGCATGTAAGCCCAGTAAGGAAATATAATTCCTATTAGTATAACAATTTAACCTTATCAGAAAAATACACCTCCAATCCTTAAGAAACTCAATCACATTCACATATAGATAAAACCAGTGGACCAATACGAGGAAACAATAATAACTATAGCAGTAACTAACGGAGCGTACCCACAAGGATGCAGTGTGCCGCGGACGACTGACAATAGGAAAAGAAACATTCAGGAGTAAGTGAATCAATTGGTGCCATATGTTCGTAACAGACTTGAGTGAAGTGAAGACTGTGATGACGATGGAAAGACCTAGTGTGGTGTCGGAGAAGGAGGCGCCGGCGAAGGGCCTAGTCGCCCAAGTTGTGACCATGCTCAACGGCCAAGCGCAGAGGTGAGGATATACTTTATTGGTGTCGCCGCCAGGCCGCAATCGCAACCGCTGGCGATCTTGACCCGAAAACGAATATTACCTAGTTGCAATCTATGCGTAAAATACAGCGTTCGCTAAAATATTCAATTCATAGCGCATTCGCGGTTCCGCGTGATTTTAGATGGATCCATTTATACAAATGTTAAGTTTTCCGTATAATATTTTGCATATAAAACTATTTTCTTATGTAAGGCCTAAATTCACCATAATATTTGAATGAACTTCAATATTAATGTATAAACCCGCTATTTAAAGATTTACTTACAACACTAAACTAAATTACTACATTTCTCTACATCTTCTCTAAATTACTTAATGTTCAATCTTAAGTGCAAAGATTAGCACTATAAACAATTTAAATTACTACATTTCTTAGCATTTCAAACATCGCACAACTATTTCTCTTTCTATTACTTGTTTTAGACAGTTTTATTTTTATATTACTCGAGAAGCGGTATCATTTAAGTACCCGACTGGCTTAAGGTAGCGAATTGATCTCTCAGAAATGATTATCAATACTTTGAGCTTTCAATCATAAAACTAGATTAACCCTTAATACTTGAATTATTTAGTTACACACAACTTAATTTAACATAAATGGGAGAGGCTGAGATTTATATAATTTAATCAATAATTTTCTTTCAACTCTTCCATTCTTTATTGTTTATGTATGTATGCTTGCTCAGTTATTGCCAATTCAAAATTAATACCATTGTCTAAGATAAATTCAATGTACTCGTAATGCGTAATATTAATGTGAAGTAAATGATCAGAATCAGATAAATCCACAGTAAGTAATTCAATATTTCTTTGCTTCGATTAAGAAGCCGCCGTTTAAAAATTCACAACATACTCATATGACGACAAATTATGATGTAACTGTCGACACATCTAAGTAATCCTTTATGTTAACATTTGTAGAAAAAGTACGAAAAGGTTGTCGCCGTTGTGGGAATCGAACCCACGTCTTCGGCATTCGCGGCCTGACTATTCGCCAATCCAATCCATTATG